CCTTGACTCGCTCCACGCCGACTTGCATCGTCTTCAGTTTCTCACATGCTAGCTTGGTGAAATGCTTCTCTGCCACCATGAGAAGAACGTCCTCCGGTAGCGCTTGATAGATGGCGGTGAGAGTCATTCTATCCTTACGCTCTTCGATCTCGTCTTGCGCCACGACGTCCCACACTCCTTGAGCTTGTAGGTTCACACGCATCTTCAACGACCACACTGAGTAGTTACTCTTTGTGAGTAACGGATAAGAAAGTGTTATGTTCCCTTCTCTTTCGATCTTCATTGCTGTCATATCTCCTATGATAGCTTTGCTCGGTGACGACATGTCCTTCGGCTTAGGCTCTGATATCAAATGTTGGTTCCAATTTAATGGATCGCTAAAGGACAAATCGAAAGAAAAATGAGAGTAGACTTTTGGGAAGTCTCTTTTTATTATTTTGAAGAAGTGAAAAGATACAAGTCTAGAGTTTATTTTACAATACAACACAACACTCAATTTATAGTAACTAAGACATGCCGAAATAAAAAAAGAAACGTACACAATAAAAGCAAGAGAATTAAGTGTTATCAATTTTGCGCCTATTTGAATTGATTACACATATTTGAATTTTGAATTTGAATTTAAGATTCAAATTCAAAATTAATGCTATTGTCATATCTTCTATATTTAATTCAAAATTAATGCTATTGTCATATCTCCTATATTTATTTCACTAATCAACTCATGTCTATTATGAAACCACTAATTGTGTAACCAATTCAAATTATCAATTCAAGATTAGTCTCACAATATCTTCTGGAAAATCCAAAATCTGAAAAAAGTATGAGCTTCCGGAGAAATTTGAGAAGACTTGTGAATGCTCAGCCCGGTTGATATATTTGAATTCTTTGGATAAGGCCACACACCAAACACAACTTTGGTTGTGTTTATTCCTACAAGATTCAGATGAGTAAGACTTATGTAAAATATGAACAAAGTCAAAATAAGTAAGCAAGTTCATAAAATCTGAAAGAACGATAATGAAAGGAAGTAAGCGACAGAGAAGCAAATCGCAGCTATATATACCAAACGCAAAACATCGCTCTGAAAATTTGAACTCATCGGCACTTGAGAGATTTCTGATATATTTGGGGTAACTGCAGTTAATAACAATAAATCTGCTAAAAATAAATTAATATGAAAAAATTAGAAAATTATCACTGCACCTACTCGGAAAAAAACACAGACTTCAGCAAAATCAGAAAAAAAGAAAGATGGCAAAACGACTCTTATTCCGTCTCCGCTCTACTTACCTGGACCCCAAAAAATAAAAAAGTTACCAAATTTCGTTCAATGGCATGATCAGGCACCAATTGCCACCACAGCAATTAAATATTGACACAGCGTACTGTATTTTAATATTAAAAAAAATTACGTTTATAAAATTCGCCGTTTTAAATTCGTCACGAGCAGTGAAGGTTCTCCGCTGAAGGATAAACAATTATAAAATATTATACCCTATGAGCAATTCCGCGTTCCTGAGCTATGAAGGTTTCCGCAGGGAGAATGTTTGCGTGCGTCTAGGGATTATTCAGAAGGTACGGAGTGTTATCTAAGGTTATACCCCTTTATAGCCACTATGTAACTTCGTTGTAAACTACATGTAATCTACAAATGAGTTTCGTGTTTCTGTAGTTTCATGGGTACAAATAAATTATACGGAGATTACAAGGGATATAACCCGAATAGAACCCTCATGTACCATTTAAATAACCTCTGACGTATCAGCGCTGCGTACATCTTATATACACAAATATTTTCATTCCACCGGCCCATATAAACTGATTTTAATAACTAAAATTACCAAGAAGAAAACAAAATAAAAGGACATACACGTTACCACGTGTCAACCGAACAACAGCGAATTCATGCAGGAGACGCCTACCCCCGTCAAGACCTCCCCCGCAAAGGAGTCAATTTAATTGGAACTTCTACCCTCTCCGTTGGTCACAGCTATAAAAAAGGTGAGAAGTAAATTAAGAATTTGCTGTCTTAAAAAGAAGACAAGAGAAGAAGAGGAGACAAAACTCTCCATCTCTTCCTCTCCTCGGCCATCTTCGATGGCATTGTTTTGAGCTGCCGGAGATTCTCTTCATCCGCGGCAGCGGCATTTTTTGGAGATGCTGGAGGAGAAAGTGGTGCCATACCGCTGACGTGACAAAGTGGCCTAGTCAAGTGCATCATCGCCATGTCAGCATCCAAGTCGCTAATGACGTGGCAACATTGAATTAAAAAAATATCTGTAGAATTGACTTGAATTTTCAAATGGTGGATATTCCATATAGGTTCTTCCAAATGCAAAGACTAATCTCTGCGTTGCTCTAGGAATAAAAGTCAGAAGGAGCTAAAAAGAAGATTCCACCGCACGAAAATAATTGATGGAAAAATCATTACCATGTGATTTGTTTTGAAAGAAGTTATTCTTTAGTTTCAACAGCCCTTTTTTTTTAATTTTTTGCGATAGAAATTTATAGTAGAATATAAAAAGTACGAGCAAATTTTAAATGAATAAATGGTGAAAAGGGCAGAAGCTGCTGTTGAAAATTTAAGTTAGAAGAACTTTTCAAAAATAAACGTGATTGTGATGATGATAAGAAACAAGAGAATCAAAATGAGGCTGAAGATGAAAAAATAGGGAAAATTATGAGTGATTGCAAACTGCTAGCAAGTTGCAAAATAACCGGTTCAGGCTTCAGAATTTAGGTGCATAGGAATGAGATATCTAAATACAGAGGAATCGAGTGTATGCAAATTTTTGTATTAAGATATCTCATAGCTAGACTTCAATATTTACATACATAACACCTTATCTATGCACGAGAAGTGTATTCCACTTTTGAAAAACTAATTAGAAAATATTTTTAAAGGACAATAAGAAGGCTTAGGAGGCAAAACAAAGAGTAATATAAACACATTGAAATGGTACGATCTCCTAGCAGTTTGTCAACCTTCATTATACCATCTCTTTTGAACAGTTAGATTTCTTTAAGGTCAATGTCAAGTACACAATTGATGCATTTGTTAAGAGTTTTAGAGCAAAAAAAAAGCAATAATCAACACAAATCATGAAGAAAACATTGAGATTTAACGAGTTTCGACAATTTACCTAGGTCCTCGTGTGAACGGGGGCTTTTTTTTTTAATTCAGAAAAACAGTATATATATATATATATATATATATAACCCTAGCGTACAATATGTAATTACAAAATTACCTATGTACTGAATCACGGGGGATTTGCCCCCGCACTACAGGATTCAATACCTAGGGTTACAAACAAGCATATATAGATAACCCTAGAGTACAATATGTAATTACAAAATTACCTATGTACTGTACCACGGGGGTTTTGCCCCCGCGCCCCCAACCCACATAACGAAAAAACTCCTACAATTGGACTGATGCTTCTGCTCCACTCCACTGGCTCGCTCCGTTCCTCTCCAGCATCTGTCCCTTATCTGATATATGAGTCATACCTAACTGCATCAAAACATTTTATTATACTTCTAGTGCACATTTGAATCAACACTTGGTTTGACTATATATTTATTGAAATTGGGCCATGATAATCCTTAATTTGATTTTTGAATTTTCTTGCTCAAAATGTATGAGGATTTGTGATTGTTGATACACTTTTCTTGCCAACACATCACCAATAAATTTTTTAATTGTAATTACAGGGCAAAATCTATTCGAAATTAATATACTCTTAGGGTATGTTTATCGCAACTGCAGCAGTTTGAAAAAACAGTTGTGAAGCTACTGAAGAAGAAGTTGTCGTTCATAAAAGTGTGATGACTATTACAATTTTTTTAAAAAAAAAAGTTATATCGCAACTTTCTAGCAGTAATCATAGTTAGCTAAGTATAGTAGTAAAATACAGGTGCAACTTTTTGAGAAGACAAGTAAAACAAAGTTTTATAAAAAATGACTACGGTGTGGCATTGCACGAGCCCAAACACATCCTTAATTACGCACTTACTTTCACATCATGACCTTGCAGCATTAAAGATAATTTTTAAATATTTTTCCTTTGAATAAAGAGAAATGCAAGCAGAGAGAGCGTGGCTCTCTTTTCTGTTCTCTCGCACCTATTTTCAAGAAAATCTTGTAAATCGAAAAATTTTTAATGAGCTCAAATTCCCCTCTTACCGGATGCTTTAGTTCAATGGTTAATCTCTGAGATCTGTTGCAGGCCTTACATCCATCTCTTTCTACCTTTCCTCCATAAAAACAAGATCTTCACTGACCGTATATTATCACAAATTATTCAGAATCTTACAACTTAAAAAGATCCAACAAAAAAAGTCATTATAAAAAACTAGTCCGAAAATTTCACCAAAAAAATATGAGAAATAACTTTCACAGATCAAAATTAGTAAAATAAAATGGCCAACTCCATTTACTCACGTTTTTAAAAATAAAAAGTTACCAAATTACGCTCACATGCAGGATCTCGCACCAATTGCCAGCGAATCAATTAAACGTAGACGCAACGAAATCTATTTCTATTGAAAAAAATTACGTATTTAAAATTCGTCTTTCAAAATTTCTAACGAGCAATGAAGGTTCTCCGCGGCCCCATAAACGATTACAAAATACTAAAATTATAAATTTATTTCTGCCCCAATTGATCCATTAGTAATTTTATTCAAGTTGTTCACGTTCCCAGGAGCGCTTCCGCGTTCACGTGCTATGATGAAGTTTTCCGCGGTCCATAAAAACTCCATATAAATAAGAAAAATTACCAAATAATAATAATAATGAAGAAGAAAAGGACGTTTACGTTACCACGTGTCAACCAAGCAACAGCTAATGCAGGAGAAGCCTACCTCTGTTGAGACCTCCGCAGAAGTTTGATGCTATAAAAAGAGAAGGTACTAAGAGAAGAATAAACGAAACTCTCTCTCTCCTTTTCTTCTCATCCTCAAGCTAAGTTTTGCTCGTCTCGATCGATCTAATGGCTCGCGCTCTCTACAATGGAAAGATTCTCTTCTCCGCCCTCTCTGATGGCATTATTTTAAGCAGCGGGAGATTTTCTTCGTCGGCGGCGGCGTTTTCCGAAAAGAATTTGCTGGAGGAGAAGGCGGTGCTAATCACGGGAATGAAGAAATCGGGATCGGCAACGTCCGATGCGGCGGCAGCCTCGATGCATTGGGTCCCAGATCCTGTCACGGGCTATTATCGACCGGCTAACCGCATCCAAGAGATAGATCCAGCCGAGCAGCGCCAAATGTTTCTAAACAACAAGAAATAGATTTAGGTGTTAGACACCATTGATGGGAGAAAATATTAAGGCAGGACTATCCAGAATCCAATAGGAGAGCGACACGTGTAAAGTGGATCAATCACAATGTATTGTGATGAGTCTATTTTACACGCGGTCCCTCCTTATTGGACTATAGATAGTCCTCACCTAATATTTTCTCCGGTGATGGGGATTTAGTGATTTTTCCTCTATACATATATATATATATATAATATATATATATCAATATATTATCTTAATGTCTTTATTGCCCTCAAATGGTATTTACAAGTTTGTCATTCTATGGTTATAAATAGAAGTTGTAATACTGATTAATGTAATGAATATTAGCTTTATTTTACTTTCCTTTGTCTCCTCTTCTTCCATCTTTTATGGTATCAGAGCAAGTGGCATCTCTTTGGATCAAGACTCATGAATTTCTCCTCCTCCACCAGTCCAAATCTCATTCAATTCTTCCAAGAATCCTTAAAGAGGATGAAGGTAATCAATACACCACTTCTCCTTAAGTTTCTTATGCAGCACATTAAATGTATTGCCTCCACTCCCCTACTTTTTGAAATTACAAAATGTGGAAGATTCAAATACAGAAATTATTCCTAGAAATCATTAGAGCTATATCATTAACTTCAGGTTATCACCAGGTAAATTTAGACTAGGGTATATTAATTAAATTCATGTTAAGAGTCTATGAAAATATTGAAACTGACATTGAGTTAATAATAACTAATTGACTTAATCAAGTTAATAGATTTGTATTAGTTCAAAACTTTAATTATGTTAAGCACATTGACTCTTAATTAAATTGAACAGGCAATATTGAAATTTTATAAAAAGGACAATTTATATAAATTAAGGAGGTCTAGTATGGCCTAAATTATATTACCTAAAAATTAAAATTAACAAATAAATTTTTTTAGGTCATTGAAGATTAAGGTGTTCAAAATGAACATAATAAAAATATCTCTGGTTAAGAGCATAAATAATAAAAATAATAACATAAAAAACTAAAAAAAAATTAAAATCGGTTTCGAATAGATTAAAAGAGAAAAATAGATAATAAATAACATAAAAAACTAAAAAAAAATTAAAATCGGTCTCGAAAAATAGATAATGAAAATAGTAATTAAAGGGATGCGTAAGATTAAATTAACATACAAAAGTTAATGCTTGATATTTTCTTTTAACTAAAAAAGTCAAAATTTCTTGAACTAAAATTAATAGGTGCTATATTTAGATCAAGAAAGAGTAAATTGAGATTATTGAAGTGTTTAGCAATAAAATTTCATATATGCTTCTTGGTTGAATAATAACTGGTCAATAATACAATCAAGCACTTTAGAATTTTGAATTAAATAAAAAATTAAAATGACTAAAAAGTTAGACTATTGTTAATCAATTAAACTTCACACAATTTAAAAATTTTACATTGACTTTAGTTATGTAACCAAAAGATACTCAAGGGAGTGATACATCTTGAGTTAATTGATGTTCAACCAAGCTAAAACACAACAACAGATATCGAAATTACTTGAGGATAAAGAATATTTGAATTTAATGGATTTGTTGAGTGAGAAAAACAAAAAAAATGTTCCATAATACTTATTTTTATTTCATTATTATCTGCATAGTCTACATTATTTTATATAATTTTTTGGAGGAAGCTTATAAAAAAGTTTTCATAAAATTTTGGTGAAGTTCAAGTTAACATCATAGCTCCATGCCCAACGCTTAGGCGTTATGTTAAACTTTTATAACAAAAAGATTCTTGAGAGCTTAGAATCACAATGCCAAGTATCAAGCGCCATAGTGCTAGAATGGAATATGCAGCACCATCATCCATAGCATCATAATGTTATTGATGCAAGAACAATGAGTTAAAATATATAAAACTATGTGTCATAACACCATACAGAAAAGATGATTTAGTAAGGCTACCATTAAGAAGATTTTTTTTTTTTATCATCAAGGGAGTCTAGAAATTATAAAGTATAATAAGCAATGTTTGACTTGCATTCTTTGATTGATTTTTTTTCATGTTGTTAAGCTTATTAGAAAAGGAAAAAAATAATGAATAACCTCAAGCAGAAGATTTCCATCCCTCAAAGATATTTTAATCAAAATTAGGTTAATAATTCAGCTATTAGTTCTTATATGAACATGTTGCTTGATCTTTTGAAAAGTGCCCATCTTAGATCAATAAAATATTGATCAAAGGATTGAGGTTGTAATCTTCTTTAGGAGTAAAAAATTGATTAAGCTGTTGATTATTATAAAAAAAACTCTATTAGAACACATTTGATGTTATTTTTAGTTTATTAATTAAACTTGCTAAATTATACACCCAAATGTTGAAGCTCAAATAGATAGACATTAGTAACACAATTGATAAAATCAATAAATTTAGAAGGAAGAATAAATTTACCACTTATTTCTTCTTTTCATTTCTAAGAAGCTGGATAAGCTGCAGCTGCCCCAAACAGACCCTTATAGACATAAGGAGCCACAAGAATAATAAGTTCTCAAATGGTTTTACTCTTGGTAGCATCCTTCGTATCTTAGATAAATGTGTTGAACTATTAGTAGTTGAAGAAAATTTTAAAAATTCATTCATAAATTATGGGTGAGACAGCAATTGATTGTAACTTATTTTATATGGATCACAGCTAACCCATACACAAATATAAGAATAAAGTTAAATTTATTTTAAATATCATTTTGGCGGAAAATATATACTTAGTAAAAAAAGTGGAGTTAGAAAGGTAGGAGTTTCTAGAAATATTTGTTTCATAAAGCACACATTGCATGAATATAATCTCTAACTAAAATTATAAATTTATAGATTATATATCCTTATTTTGAACTTTGAAGTTCCATGCTACAATGATACAAAAATATAATGTTAAGAAATAATTGAGTAAGGTGTTAGGATAGGAGTGTTTGAGATTAAAGTAGGCGGTATATATGGAGGTGGTGATTATAGGCATTGGTAAACAAGAGACTAAAAAAGTGACGTGCCTTGATTTGTTTCCTTCACTAGAGGCAACGTTTTGGAGCTTTTTTTATTATCATTACATATCCTCCCATGCCATACATGGAGGTTTGAGTCTTGAATTTTTTAAGAGCAAGACATAGGTTAAATTTTTTATTGTACAGTTTTATATATGTTGTAGATTAGACTATGATGATCATATCAACCAAAGAATATTTATTTTTTGTCAGTTATTTTGTGTTTAGCAATATTTCATATATTTTGGCATGTGAGTTATATCTCATAAATTTATTCTAGAATAAAAAAATGTTTGAAATATTATTCAAGGTATTTCAAATAAGAAGGTTTGCAAATTTTTTTTTGTCGTTATGTGTAGATCCCTACAAATTACATTTTTACTTGTGTCTGATGGAATCTTTTCTATAGCATGTTTTGATATTTGATATGTCAAAATTATTAGCATTTATATACATTTGTATCATAAATATGTGTAAAAAATGAAAAAAACAGTAGAGTTGCTGGTGGTTGTGGTTGAGCAACTATATAGTTTGTGCAATCAAGAGAAGTTATAAGGGTTTTGTGCTAATGTAATTATCCATATGTTGTTTTGTACGTCTGAATAGATGCAAACAAATAGAGGAATAAATGGAAGTAAAGTTAAAAGGAGCACAGGGGAAATATGAATAAGTAAAGGTATAAGTGGAAGTTGAGCCATAAGGAGTGAAAATAATATATTAAAATAATTCAAATAAATAAACGAATTTTTATTTTCATGTTATTTTTCTTCACTTATGATGTCATGTTGTTTATATTGTTACTCAGCTTGTGTCTACTACAGTTATAATTTCTCGTATTGGCACTGTCATAAATACTATACATGATATCATGTTTGACCATGATCAATTTATTTCTTTGATTACATGTTTATTTTTTTTTAATTTTGAAAGCTGTAGTAGATTTTTAGAATATTCGGTTGTGTTTGCTCATCCATGTTTTACTCGCATGTGCTCTTTAAAGGAAAGGTAAGACTCAGGTAAAGTAAAGCTTTTTGTGTTACTGGTGAGAGCTTAATATTAGGTATGTCAGCACCTTAGATTTATGTTCTTGACAGTCATAGTGATTTATGTTTTAATGATAGAAAAATTAAACCATGATTATTGTATATATTTCCTTTTGTTGTATATTGATATGAACTGAATGATTTTTTTTTATTTTTATTTTATAATATTTGATAATATTAATGACTTTATGATTGTGACGGGTTACATTGAGTTGGATTGTGAAATATGGTTTCCTTTTAAATCCTCCTTAATTGAGGCAAAATCATGTTATCAATGCTAGATAATAAAATGACGGTGAATGAAAACCAATGGTCCTCCAATTATGATCATTTTTATATCCTCAATGATTATATTGTAAAATGATCTTCAGCCAATAGCACCAAGGAAAGGTTTCATTTATATTGTAAAATGATCTTCAGCCAATAGCACCAACTAAGGAAAGGTTTTTTTTTGATATATCATTAATCAAATTAGATAAGAAAGCCTTCTTGCCTTCTTTACATGGACCCTAAAATAGCGAAGTTAGGGGCCCGAAGCACATTGGCTATTAAGAGGCGTTTTCGATTTGTTATTAAAAGTTACAAATTATGATTTTCAGAAGGGTTGAATTTGTGGGTATTACTTGGAAGTTTAGAATGTTTAGGAGCAAAAATAGAAACAAAGCTGAAACTCGAAAAGAGATGAGAAAAAATGAGTTAATCATATGGTCAAAGGTGAAAAACAAATCAATAGAGTTGGAGTAACGTCGTAGTGTCAGTGAGAAGTTGAACTCTTAAAGAACATAATGATAGGAATAGATCAAAACTATGAAACCCTAATAATGGAAAAAGGCATATTATGAAACAAATTTTTTAGTGGATGAATATTTTCTAAACAAGGTGTTCATTGACAAAGAAATAATTCAGCGTCATCAGAGAATTTTTTAATACTTTTTTTTT